ACTGCTAGTCATTATTAGTTACGACTTTCATCTCATTAGGTGTAAGTTCCTCCACGAACTTCTTAAACTCTCTCTTAGCCTCCTTGCTCTCAAAGTCGTTGTTGTTAAGCTTTGCTAATCCTTCTTGATAGGTCTTTCGAAGAATCTTTTGCAAAACACCACCTGAGCCGTAAATTCTTGCTATTCCTCTACCACTAATGTCATGGGTGGGCTTGTCATCTTTGCTAAGCACTTTCGCAATCGTGATCTCGTGTTTTCTCATATCCACCTGCTTAGTGATCGCATCCCATTTACGATGCACATGAGTTAGGTTTGTCTCTAGCCATTCAGCTATAGTCTATTAGCAGATGTCTATGATAAACAGCTGTGATAACTTACCAGACTTTTTCTGGGTAAACCGCTTCTCTGAAAGTATATCCCACTCTTTCTCTAGCAGCTTAGCCTGTCTAGCACTATTTGCTAATTTATACTTAGGCTGTTGCAAAAGCGATTTCTTCAGTTGGTACTTCGCGGAGCGGTCGGCTGTTCTAACGCTTTCAAGTACCTTCTCCTCTTTATCGAAAAGAGCTTTGCGTTCACGTTGAGCAATAGCACGGGCGCTACCACTCAGAGAGCCAGTATAGGGGACGCTCAAATTGATAGGTCGGCCTTTTCGTGAACCCCCACTACCTCTTTGATCTAAGATACCGTCAATCTCGTCAGCTTCACACGCAAATCCCTGCTTATATTAGCATAAGCTGTGATAAATGGCTGTGATTATTACATCGGTAAGCTGCTCCCACTCATCTTGTTCGAACCCAGGCGGAGGTTCAAGTTTGATGGCTGGAACTAGGCCTTCAGGTACGTCGCCGACTTGCTCTTTCGCGACAGGCATGGCGGGGACTGTGATAATGCGCTGTTGTAAATGGGGTGTTTTCAATGTAGTAAAGAGAGTTATTAGGTGTTGGGAGTTACTGGGCGTCAGGGGCTGGAGAAATGGGTAGACAGCATTATGCTCACCTAGAAATGGTCCGTGCGCTGCTGCCTGCGCTAGCGCGAAAACGCGGAAATTACCCAAAATGATCAACACATCGATGATTCCTTCATTTTTGGGCTGCACGCATGCGCGAGCTCGGCGTTTATCACAGCAGTTTAACACGTTTGTATGATATGCTCGCTACTGATTTTGCAACAGAAATGGTTGTATGCGATCGTGAAACAGCAAATTACGTCATGCAGTCCGTGCGCTGCTGCCTTTACTAGTGCGGAAATCGGGAAATTGCCGTCGCCCAAACTTTCCAGCTACCTAACTCTTTCAGCCTACTACTTTCTTAATTGTCGACCACATTTATCACAGTAATTAATCACATACGTCGCCTACGTTCATCATCTACTCTACTACGCAATGGCAAGGACAAAACCACGGCCTAAGGTCACCGGTAAAGCCGGCCGGGGTGGTCCTGATGGCAAGACAGTTACTGGCGGCAAGCCGGCTCAGAAGGCCCTTGCTAGTAAGGCTAGACGTCAAGTAGCAGGAAAGTCTACGCGAAAGGCACCTGTAGCTGTTAAGAAGAAGCGCAAGTTTAAGGCCGGCAGTAGGTTATCACAGTCGTTTATCACAGCTATTTTCTAATTTAGCTTAGCTGTCGCATTACGGGAAATCAAGAGATACCAGAGAGGTTTTGGACTACTCTTGCGAAAACTCCCCTTTTCCCGCGTAGTGCGCGAATTTGCACAGGTGCACAAGGCCGATATCCGCTTTCAACGATCTGCAATCGAAGCTCTTCAGGAAGCTACAGAAGCTTTCTTAGTTGGTTATTTTGAGGGTATAGTCTATCTACCCTATACTATTTTTCATTTAATAACTTTTATAGACTGCAACATCAATGCTATTCACGCAAAGAGGGTTACTATTCAAGAGAAGGATTCTCAATTGGCTAGGCGCTACTTTGCGCGCGAGTTACTAGCTTTTCTCTAGATTATAAGATATATCTAGATACACGTGCTTAAATGCTAGCTGGCGAAGCCTCTGTATATTATAAATGAAACTAGTTAATGCTACACTGTGTTAATCTACTGTGATACTATATAAACTTTTCTTTTATTGAAATCTATATTATACATCTTGCAATTTTTTTACTATAACCCAACCCTAACCCATGGTCCGTGCGACCCCAACCCAACCCCAACCCAACCCTAAGCTTGGCGCTGACAAATGGGTTGGGGTTGGGTTGGGGTCGCAAAATTTCTAACCCAACCCCAACCACACCCCGACCCATTTGCCAGCGTAAGAGAGACTCGATAACAGGAGAGAGAGAATATTATAGAATAAGGAATAAGGAGGCGGGCTATTATTAGAAAGTTAATAGGCGTGTCAGATAATAGCACTGTTGTCAGATTGAGGCGAGGTTTTGCTCCATGATCGAGCCGATGGTGGTTGGGGAAGGACATGAGACCCCCAAACCAGGGCTAGCGCCGGGACTTAGTACTGCCAAAGCCGAGAGCGAGGCCCCCTCCCCACAGGACAGAGGCCGTAGACAGAGACAGACAAGGACAATACACTTTGATCCCGATCCCATAAATAAATCTGACAACTGTTGAAGATGAGAGCGTACAGACGCTGGGTTAGACTAGCGCGACCTAGCATCTGTGAGAGCCAATCGGATCACAGGAAGGCTTGGCACCCCCTAGGTGTGCCCACAACCGTAGACAGAACAAAGACACAATAAATCATCAATATCATCACCATCATTACCTATTTCATCAGTAATCCAGATGAGAGTGAATATCTGTGTTACGAACCTAAGGAGAGGACACAGTGCAAGATATGAAGGGCAGAAGGATGGAGACCTTGTCGGAATCCCTTCTCAGACAAAGGCGTACAAAGGTGTACAAGGACCAATGACGTAAGCCTGCCCCGCATCCCACAAAGCTTGGCGGAACGCCACCATGGGACATGTCACGTGTGTCCCAAGGAATCCCACGATGTACCACGAGGTCCCACGCATGGGACAGTGTAGGACAACGTAGGACGTATAGGACATAGGACATTCGTTAGTATATAACAATAGGCAATGAGCCCTTACGGTTCATTGTGTTCAACTTCGAAATCTAAGGATTAGTACTTGATTCTCAACTCCCCGTATATTACATCGATCTACCAATCGTGCTATACACCCTCGTGTCCATCGCATCACTCTATCCCCGAGAACCAACCCAAGATCATCTTCGGACGACCTTCACACTTTGAACACCCTCAAGATGAGTGACACCCCGATGAACACACCTAACGAAACTTCGTCAAGCCGCACCAAGGTGGCCAGACCCGATCTATTTCACGGCGACCGACACAAGCTCGAAGACTGGATTCTCCAGTTCGATCTCTTCTTCAGGTTTGAAGATGAGAAGGTCGACCCTACTGATCGTGGACTGCTCATGGCAAGTTACATGCGAGGAACTGCCGCCACCTGGATCAAGCCTTACCTCAACAAATACATGGACGACAACGATGACGACGACGATATTGAACGAATGTTTGAAGACCATCCAACCTTCAAAGACAAGCTTAGACAGCAATTCGGAGTCATCAACGAAGAATCCAAGGCAGATCGTGCAATCCAACAGCTCAAACAAACCCAATCAGTCGCCGACTACGCCAGTATCTTCCAGGGACATGCCCTGAAGACCGACTGGGACGACAAAGCATTAAGGGTTATGTACAGACAAGGACTTAAGGAAAGAGTCAAAGAAGAGCTTATGCGAAGCGGCGTCGCAATCAACAACCTACAGGATCTTATCCGAGAATCAATTCGTATCGACAATGCACTCTACGAATTGCAGCAGGAAATCCGACCGGTTAGAGCCAACCAGTCAGTGCAACGCACAAAGGGACGATTCTTCAAGAAGAAACCAGGATATCGGACGACACCCGGAGGTATTGTACCCTCCGCCGGTAACAACTGGCACGACCCTGATGCAATGCAACTGGACAACATCAACAAAGGCAAGAGTTTCGGAAGGAATGACAAGAAGAAGCCATATAACAAAAAGGAGATCACTTGTTATAATTGTGACAAGAAAGGTCACATGGCTAGGGACTGCCACAGCAAGAACAAGGTGGTTAGACAACTCAACGTTATCCACAAAGCAGTACCCACTGAGCAACACGAGACATGGAATGTCATATCTAAGCCAACCATCGAAATCAACACGCAGGAAAGCGTTTTAGGATTAGATAACCTCGCACTCGTGGAATCAGACTCAGAAGAAGAACAGCCCACTTCGGAGTACGACATGCTCGAAGATGAGTCCAAGGACTTAGAGGCTACGGAAATCGACCAGACCAAATTCGGCAAGATGGCCATGTTTGAAGGAATCAACAGGCCACCCACACCTTATATACAGGAAGAAGAGTTCTACAAGCTCGCAAGACAAATCAACCAGCTACTACGACACCTCAACAAGGCTAAAATCGAGTACGCCTGCGAGGAACCCAACATTATGGCTGCTATGCGACAGGACTTCTACCGATTGTCACTAGAAGTACAACAAAATAAGGAAAACATTTCAACCGAAATATTGAAGTTCCTACCAACAACATGGGAACTAAGCTGGATCGAAGACGCAATTCAATCATGGGAAGAACCAACGTTGCCAATCTCGGAAAAAGAGAAGCAAGAGATCTACGACGAACTCTGCCAGACCAGGAACGATTGGAAGACCTTCCAACACGGCCACAAGAGAAAGGCCAAGGACATCAGTAGATCAAAGGAATACGACTACTGGATGAACCCTAGGAACCCAGAACATGAGAAGTTATCATGGGTTACATGCATTCACGACCATTGCAGAGTACACTACTCGGATAAGTCCGGATCAGGATGGTTCCCGGAAGAAACCAAACGATCGTACCGCTGCAAGTGGCAATTCTTCGACTGCAAAAACGACCTATGCCCAATACACTTATGGGACAAAAGGGAAAAAACATACTTCCCAGGTCACGACAACCCCGAAGAAATTGATCAGATGCAAACAGTATGGCTAAAAGAATACGATGAAGGAGACGCTTGGGAATGTCAACAACCCAACTGGCAAACATGCCTTAGCAAAGAATGCGACCTTCATGCGATAGCCAAAGGATTCCATGGATTTGGAAATCAGGCTTTTTTAGGCCAGCACCCGGCCCAGAGCGGCCCGGCAAGGAGATTAACTCAGTAAACTCCTTAGACCTCATCAAGCTTCAGGTGAAGCTTGAAGGGAGGTGGATGAAGGCATTAGTAGACTCGGGATCACAAGCCAACTACGTTTCAGCGCACGCAGCATCTTCAGCCGGACTGAAGCCACTACGGAAACAAGAAGCTTACCCACTACACGTGGCCAACGGAGAGCCAATGCCAGGTGAACAAGAAATCACCCATGAGGTCAGACAAGTGACGCTCAACATCCAAGGACACCAAGAGAAGATAGACCTAGATGTCTTCGGACTAGCTACCCACGACATCATATTAGGACTTCCATGGTTACGAGAACACAACCCACGGATCGACTGGAAGTCGAAGACGTTCTCATTCGAGTGCTGTGGAACGGACGCAACCACAAGCCAGCCTACGCATTGTCAGAGTACGATGGTAGATGAGAGGAAACTGAATAACATCGCAAAGAAAAAGCGAGCCTCGACAAAGGACGGCCTTAAGAAACAAGGGTCCGACTCAGCAGACGCCGGAACGGAGCCACCGGGTCAACAGACTAGAGTTTTGGAGAAACGCGCAACTCCTGAGATCCCCGCAGAATACAAAGAATTCGAACATCTATTCCGGGAAGTGGCAGATGAACAAGCATTGCCAAAGCACCAACCCTGGGACCACAAGATTGGCCTACAGGAAGGAAAGAAACCGA